TCATCTCCCTGAAAACAGGGAAGAATGGCCTTAAATCTCCAGAAACAAAATTCTTCCTATTACAGTAAATTTATTTTTAAATATACTCTGATAGAATAATAAAAATTCTCTCCCCCTGACCCCCAGTTCTGTTGGTTTTCTAGAAGCTTGGTAATAGCATGCTAAGAAATTGTAACTTTATTATCTCTTTCATTCATTTAACAAGATTAAGTACCTGTCAGTACTCTTGACTGGAAATAAAAGACTTACCCTCTAGCTTCAGTCAGCTTAGGGGTGGGGTGCATTGGAGCACCACAGTGAGCTCAGAGGGCTACCATGAGATATTTTAAATTCAAAGAAAACTCAACATCTGTCATATACTGTGCAAACTGCGAGCTGGAGGTAGTGCCCAGTTTAAACATTAGGCTGTACTACGTTCCTTTCAGTGACAGCGTATTTTTGGGTTTTCAGGAGTTGCTGTGGTAAAATAAAGCAATCACCACACTAAACTTGCTGTGGAGTAGGAAATGCGGGTATCATTGTCCAAGCTCATTCCAAGGTTTCACCTGTGTACAATGCAAGAGACTTACAACTAGTTATTTAAAAATGAAATGAGATGTTTGTGGTTTTTTAAAAAATGTATATCCACTATTTTTTTCAAATGGTTATTGAGTTTTTAGGACATAAATATTTATTAAGTTGTTTAGACTTAACTACTGTTAGGTACTTCTTTTGGCCTAAGGGCACTATGACAAAATTGTTATGACATTAAGAATCCCTTGCCCGACTGGTGTGGCTCAGAGGTTGAGCATCAACCTGTGAACCAGGAGGTCATGGTTTGATTCCTAGTTAGAGCACATTTCTGGGTTTCGGGCTTGATCCCCAGTAGGGGGCGTGCAGGGGTCAGCCAATCAATGATTCTCTGACTTCACTGATATTTCAATCTCTTTCTCCCTCTCCCTTCATCAATAAAAAGATATATTTAAAAAAAAAAAAAAGAATCCCTTGACTTACTAGGCTTGAACTCAGAAAGTTAAGAAATCTCTGGCCTAGTAGGAGGGACAGACAAGGAAATGATCAGTAATGTTTAGGTATTTTCGGGGTGTAATGGTTGTACACAAGAGAGGGTTCTTGGCCTGGTAAGTTCAGTGAAGTCTTTACAGAGGGAGTTGTTCCTAAACTCTGTTTTCAGCACAAAAGAAAAGTAGGGATAAGCCGGTTGAACAAGAGTGCTACAAAGAGCATGGTAATAGTACCTAGGTAAATTGGGGCATACAAATAATTCTATGGAGTTACCGCATGGTAGAACATTTGGTGCAAGGAAAGAGCATCAAAAGACAGGACAGAAGAGGAAAGGAGGGTCAGACTGATCCTTCAGGGTCTTGGGAATTCTAGAGGTCTTTCTTGTTAGCTAAAGGGTTTTTACATTATCTGGAAAGTAGGAGGGGTCCACTCAGACATTTTTAAGCAGGGATGTGGTATGATCAGATTTGTGTTTTTGTTTTTTTAAATCCTCATGCTTTTATTGATTTTAGAGAGAGATGAAGTGAGAGAGAGAAACATTGATGCGAGAATGAAACATCAATTGGTTGCCTCCAACAGGGGATCAAACCCACAACTTGGATATGTGCTCTGACCAGGAATTGAACCCTCAACCTTTTGGTACATGGGATGACACTCCAACCAACTGACCTACTTGGCCAGGGCCAGGTTTCTGTTTTTGTTGTTGTTTTTTAAACACTTTTTAAGTGGAGAATGGTTTGAAAAGGAGCAGGAGAGATACAAGAAGCCCAGAAGAAGGCTGTAATAATGATACATGTGGAAAATGATAAAATTTGTATTTAACAAATACAGTTAAGCAAAGACCAAGACTTGCTTAGGGGGACAGTGTGGTGGGAAAAGCCCCAGCATCCTCAGACCTGCCCCCAGCTTGTTTCCTCTTCATTAGCTGTGGATCCTGGGAAAACCACTCAATTCACCTGAGCCTCACATTCCTTGGCTGTGAAACAGGACACCTACTGGGATAAATAAATAGAAAATGCTTAATCACAGTGCCTGCTACACAATAAGAATGTTAGCTATTATTATCACCTTACCTTTGTGACTGCTGAATGACTACATAATAGGTTAGCAAGCGATATCAATCATTTTATCCTCAGACATGGAGGTTTTATTTCATTTTCTCTGGAGGAGATTGTATTCGTTGCCTTTGTTTATATTTAATGGACAAAAACTTGGATATCTTTATTGTAAATTCAAATGGAATTAATGATAGTTTATAATATTTTTTTCTACCTTCTTAGGCTTTATGACAATCTATCCTGTAGGGAAATGAAATAAAACTAATCTTTTTGAAAAAATATTTTCTTTCTTTCCTTTTGGATAGATGTATTTTCATTTTTCTGATCTTAACTGTAAACATGCAGTTTTTTTAATGTTTAGACCCGGAAAACAATAAAGTGGATTTGTGAGTCAGTATAATATTGTGTGAAGCTTTTCCCCAACTTGCTTTCAGGTAAATTTTTTCCATACATAGTCTGCCTTTGAAAAAAGTAAGATAGAAACTTAAAAGAGTAACAACATACTAATTAGCCACTTGTAGAATTGGATGTTAATTGTGAATGAGGTCCCTTTGGGAAGAGGCTACTCAGGAAGGCTTTATGGGGGGAGTGGGTCATTGAATCTTCATTTGAGCCTGAATGAACAGGCTGATTGGTGGAGAGCAATGAAAGTTCATCCGAGTCAGGCAGGAGAGCAGAGAGGCCAGCCTGAAGAGAACAGATGGCTTACAGTGGAAATTTTTGGGCCATGTGACATGGAATATATTTGAGGCAAAAACTTGATGGAAGACTCTTGATATGAAACTGTAAATATTGTGCACATTTTCATATATTAGGAAGATATGTTCTTTCAACAGAATATTAAAGTTTGAGTCAAATAGAAAAGGGGACATAGAACTCCATTGGCATTTGGTTATTTCATGGTTTGAGAGAAATATTTATTTACATGCTTGTATGACTGTATTTAGCATTTTAAAAAAGCTTTTTTGAATTATTAGAGGCCCGGTGCATGAAAATTCATGCACTGGAGGGGGAGGGGGGTCCCTAAGCCCGACCTAACCCCCTCTCACAGTCCGGGAGCCCTCAGGGACAGGAGGCAACCTGGCGATCAGGGGAAGGCAATGCCCCCATCACACCTCTGCTGCTGCCACTGCCAACAGCATAAGCCTCTGCTGGCCCCGGTTACTTGAGCTTCGGGCAGCCCTGGGCAGCTGAGCAGCTGCCATCCAATGCTTGCCTGCACATCGGGCATCAGCTGGGCACCCGCCATTCGAGACTTGCCTGTGCCTCGGGCCGGTCCTGGGTGGCTGGGGGGATGAGGGAACTGGGAGACTCCAGAGGCAGGCACGGGGGGGGGGGGGGGGGGGAGGGCTGAGAGGACTCGGCACTGCCATCTTGTGGCTGTGGGCATCGCCATCTTTGAGGGCATGGCAGTCAGCATATTCCCTCCTTATTGGCTGTGGACGCTGCCATCTTTAAGGGCGGGGCAATCAATTAGCATATTTCCTCCTTATTGGCTGTGGGTGCCACCATCTTTGTGATGACATGAGGGTCAATTAGCATATTCCCTCTTTATTAGATAGTATAATACCAAAAAGTGCATATCATAAATGCAGACCTTGGCCAGTTTCCACAAACTAAATGAACCAATATAATCAACACCCAGATCACAAGGCAGCATTAACAGCACCACATGAGGCCCCTCATGCCCCCTTTTATTCACCATTCCCACCTCCCACCCCAATGACCACTATCCTGACTTCTAATGGCATAGATTAGTTTTATCTATTTTTGTGCTTTATAAAGTAGAATCATTTTGTATCTACTCCTTTGTTTCTGAATTCTTTCACTCAACATTTTGTCTGTGAGAGTCACCTATATTATGGCTTAGTTTATAAATCATTCATCCTCATTGCCCCATAGTTTTTCATTGCACGAATATACTACAATTTGTTACCCATTCTACCAGTGAGTGAATATTGCTATGAGCATCCTAGTATATGTCTTTTGCTGAACACACATCTGCATTTCTTTTGGGCATATATGTTGAAGTTTGCTGGGTCCTACCATATGCATATGTTCAACTTCAATAGAGCCATGTGACATGGAATATATTTGAGGCAAAAACTTGATGGAAGACTCTTAATATGAAACTGTGAATTTCATACAATTTCTGTAGAGTGTGTGTATCATTTTGCTCTCCTACCAGTAGTGTATGAGTGTTCTATTGCTCTTGCCAATGCTTGACATTTTCTGGTTTTTGTTGTTTTCATTTTATCTATTCTGACAGATATATGGTGGTATCACAGTGTGGATTTACTTTACATTTGCCTGATGGCTGATAAAGTTGAACACCTTTTCATCTGTTTATGGACCATTTGGATATCTTCCTCTTAAAATTCTTAGTCTTTGGCCCATGCTTATTAGATTATCTGGCATTTTTGTACTCAATTGTATGAATTCTTTGTATTTTTACACTTTTGACACTTAAAAAATGTTTTAAAGATTTTTTTAAAATATATTTTATTGATTTTTTACAGAGAGGAAGGGAGAGAGATAGAGAGCTAGAAACATCGATGAGAGAGAAACATTGATCAGCCGCCTCCTGCACATCTCCTACTGGGGATGTGCCCGCAACCCAGGTACATGCCCTTGACCGGAATCGAACCTGGGACCCCTCAGTCTGCAGGCTGACGCTCTATCCACTGAGCCAAACCGGTTTCGGCTTAAAGATTTTTTTATGGATTTTTCTATGAGTATAAATTAAAGAATTCCAGAAACTAACAGCCTTTCACAGAAAGGAAATATTTATCTATTTTGTAGAATGACTATTATATATTCATTGTAGCCACTGCCCTGTGTCACGTGTGCCATGAATGATCCCATTTTTAAACAGTGATAACCGAGTTGTATAATTGCCGGCAACGATAACACAATATAGTTTTTTTCTATCTTTTTCAGATGACAATTTATGAAGATTCAGTTGCAGATCATCTTACAAAAATCCTTAATTCTGATGAACATGCAGTAGTCATATCATCTGCTAAGTGAGTTACAGAGTGAGGTCATGAAATAGTTATATGGTGAAAATGAAAGGAAAGCTGGTTCTTACCACTGACATTTCTCTGTGACTTGTTTTCCAAAAGATATCTTTGTAGTAGCTTATAGAATTAGATAAACCAAATTTCCATTTAAAAAATCATTTAACATTTATGGTGGAGAATTTTTAAAGGTATTTTTTAAGGCTTAATTTGAAAGATTTTTTTCTCAAAAAGGTACAATAAGTGTTTAGAGTTTAATTATGCTAAGTTCCTATTTAAAGAAGTATTTATGGTTATTATAATATAGGAAACACATTTCATTATAATTTATTTCCATAAACACTACTACTTAGGAAATGTTTATATCAGGAAAAGGAAAACTGATGAGATTTTTTTAATGACTTTTCTCAGCATGTTTAAAGTACATAATTATATTTTAATTTAAAGTTACCAGATTTTAGTTAAGCTGATTCTGTACATGGAGCCAAAGCTACTTGATTTTATCATTCCACACGTTGCCTGGCTGGAATTTAGAATTTAGTTTTCAGGCATCCTAAACTGAAGTTATGAAGACTGGAAAGTCAACTAGAAGAAAGGATGAAACCAAATGAAATTGTCAACTGATAAGCAAAAGTAAAAGAATGCTTTAGAACTCTGGCTTAGCCAGGGTATATAACTGTTGTTCAGAAAGAGGAGAAAAGAGGGGAAGACGGAAAGAAAAGAAGTAGGGGAATAATAGAGGAAAAATACACAAACTTTAGTATAGTATATACTTAATTTGCAAAAAATCAAGGAAAGGCAAACCAGAATAAATAAATTTGCTTGTGACAAAACTACAAATGTAGTAACAGTTGGTTTTGATGCTATAGCCCCCAGGAATTGGGAACAGGACTGAGCAATAGGAAAGAATTGAATGACTCTCAAGGGAAGCACACTGGTTGCCCAAATAGGTGGGCTACAGAAGGTCTTTGGTGGGTAGTGCTGCTAGTGGTTTCTATGTTTTTGTTTGGTTGGGTGTTTTTTAGTGAATTGTATTGCTTTATCGTGAAATGTGCAGATCTCTATTTTGTCCCAGACCTCAGCACTCCCTGTTGTCTTTCTCATCTTGGACCAAATTCATATACCTAAGTTACTTCCTTAGGTACTTCCTACATTTATTTCCTCTAGGAAGAAATGTAATGTTTGCCACCCTTGCCGTATGAATCAAATGCTTCTTATAGGACATTTTAGAGGAAATAGATAAAATGGAAAGTTGGAACCTTTCTTAAGGTATATCAAGTTATAAAAGAACTAGAGGCCTGGTGCACAAAAATTTGTGCACTCGGGGGGGTCCCTCAGCCCGGCCTGTACCCTCTCGCAGTCTGGGACCCCTCAGGGGATGACCACCTGCTCTCTTAGGCCCACTCTCCGGGGGGTTGGGGCTAAGCTGGCAGTCAGGCATCCCTCTGGCAGCCCGGCAGCCCTCGGGGGATGTCAACTTGCCAGCAGGGAGCAGGCCTAAGCTGCAGTCTGACATCCTGAGTGCTGCTGAGGAGGCAGGAGAGGCTCCCGCCACCACCGCTGTACTGGCAGCCGTCAGCCTGACTTGTGGCTGAGCAGAGCTCCCCCTTGTGGGAGCGCACTGACCACCAGGGGACAGCTCCTGCATTGAGCGTCTGCCCCCTGGTGGTCAGTGTGTGTCATAGTGACCAGTCATTCCCAGTCGTTCTGCTGTTAGGGTCAATTTGCATATTACCCTTTTATTACATAGGATTATTCTTTAATACAGTTAAGTAACTATTGTATCTGGTCACATTTCATAGTTTGGAGGTTAGCAAAGTCTTACTATAGCCTTCATGTGTTTGATGTGTTTGATTACTGACTCCTACACATTCTCTATATTTTTTAATATTTAGTTTCATAGTTACATTTTTTTCTTGTGATGAGAACTTTTGAGATCTACTTATATTTTTAATTACATGGAATTAATGTTATAAAATGTGGACAGATGCAAATAAGGTTATTACAGCAATGACCCCTTTTATTCCTTATTTTTCTTGAACTTAATACCTGTGAAGTATAACATTTTTAGCAGAGGGAATTTTTTTCAAATGAAAACTTATGAAGAATCCCAATATTTAAAAAAATTACATTTTGTTGGCATTAATAAATTGGATAAGATTAATTTATTAGTCATTTATGAGAAAAAATAACTAATATTGTTATAAATGACAGGGTTTTATATTTAATGCAGTTTTAAGTCATTTCTGTATTTTATTTTGTTTAGGTATAAAGAAATTGCCTTCAATTAAATAAAAATAGAAGATGCTTTAGTCCAAGATTTGCACAAAACTAGTGAATTTTGAAATAAAAGTTAACATACTTGTCTCTAATATATCTAATGATTATTTGAGCATTAAAAATTATATTCCTTATTTCCAAATAAATTTGAATCAAGTATTTGTGGAATCTTTGAAATATTTTTGCAAAACAGCTTGAAAACCACTGGAGCAATTCTCAGTGTTGCACTAAGTACTGTAGGAGTAAATCTGAGGCCCTAGTTGAGACTCAGCCATTTGCTAGCTTTGTGACCTGTGTCTGCTTATCAGGTTCAAGAATGGAAAGAATGCCTATCCTCCCTCCCTCATGGAACTGTTAGGAGAACTAAGTTGAGCAATAAAGTAAATAGAGCTCATAAAGTAGAGTGCTGTGTTAAATCATTAAATCATCACCTCATGTTTTCCCCAATTTCATTTGGATTCTTTTTTTTTACCTTGACCTAGCTCCTTGTCTAGGCTGTGCTCTCAGCATTAGCATTAGTGTTCTACCTGACTAGCTCATTTGCCTTTAAGTAGATTCTATTCCAACCCTGGTCCCCTCTCATCACTCACCTATACTTCTAGGCTTGCCTGGCTACCCTGTCTTTACAACCCCAGATTAAAATTTTAAAGAGATTCAAGACAGAAAAGAGAAGACAACATGGAATAACATTATACCCATAATACAGCATATTTTTTATTTAATTTATGGACGTTTTCAAACATACATAAAAGTAGAAAGACTGGTGTAATGATTTCCCACTATGCTTGTCACTCTGCTTCAGTATTTATCAACATTTTGTCATATACTTCCCATTTTTCATTGATTTTTTAGAGAGAGAGGGAGAGAGAGAGAGAAACAGATAAATATCAATGTGAGAGAGACACATCGATTGGTTGCCTCCCGCACGCACCCTGACCAGAGCCAGGGATGGAACCTGCAACCCAGGTACATGCCCTTGACTGGAAACCAAGACCCTTCAGTGCGTGGGCTGATGATCTAACCGTTGCGAACACCAGCCAGAGCCCCATTTTCTTTTTACTACAATCTCTCTAAGAAAATCCCAGAAATTATTGTATTCCACTTGCAGAATATGTATTTAATAATCTTTTAAAAAATAATTCTGTGTTACTCAGTCCATTTAACCCAGTTATCTCAAAAGGTTTTGTTTGTTTGTTTGTTTTAAAACATTTAATTTGTTCAAATCAAAATCTTAAAAATGGTTCAGGTGTTGCGTTTGAGTGATATGTCTCTTTAAGACTTGTAAAATCTATAACAGTTTCCTAATACTTAATCCCTAGCATAACACATAACCGCTTTTCTCTTCAGGAACAATGTATTATCAAGATACCACTAGGATGAATAGTATAGTGACAGTGACAACATAAGTGACAAATTTATTCTTGTTTGATCAAGTCTGCAAGTCCTGTTATGAAATTATATAATGCTTAGGAGATAATGCTCTTTTAAATGGGATTGGAAAATACTCTTATCAAGATATAATTTGAATATTTGACAAAGTCTTGTTATTACCTTAAAATTGCTTTTATTTAAAGTATGTAGAGCAAGGTTTATTAATGTATCCATTTCTCACTTAGAATGTCTTGAACTTATCTAGGACATGTCAAACAGTAGATAGAATTATGGGTTTGTATACAAATGATTCCAGTATTTTGAGAGTTTGCTTATTTTTTAAATATTTATAAATGGGGGAAAAAATCAGCCTACTGAGTTTATGGAATTGCACAATTTCTTTTCTTCAAAGGATACTATGTGAAACTGTAAAGGACTTCGTTGCCAAAGTAGAGAAGGCATATGACAAAACGTTGGAAAATGCTGTTGTAGCCGATGCCGTGGCCAGCAAAGTAAGGACACGATCAGGGCATGAAAGGTTTTTACTGACAGTGTTAACATTGAACTTGTTTTACAGCTAAATTGATTAAATGGTTTTCTTGCCAAAACATAAATCACAAGAAAGTTTCTTTTGAATCAGATATAACTGTTTAAAACATTCTATTTTATGGTTACTCCTTAAGATGTAGGAAAACTGCATTGCTGGAGACCATCTGACAAACTGAATTTTATAACGCACCCCCGTTCCCGCTGACTGGCACGGCAAAGGAGAAAAGCACAGTAGTGAGGTCACAGGGCCAGTGCTCGGTGGCCGAGGTTCCGTGGAGAGAGGAATGGCTTTCCGTTTCCAGGCAGACTCTGGCCAGTCGGTGCCTCTCAGCGCAGTTTCTCAGACTCCTTAGACTTTACAGGCCTCTATATCTTCCAGGGTTCCGTTTCTTGCCTTTATCTTTATAGATTTTTCCCCCCCTTTGAAAGCTTTCTGAGGCTAAACTAAGAGTCGTTTACTGAACCCTAAAAGCTACTGTCTGCTTTCATGCATTCATGACAGGGCATTTTTAAAAAAGGCTTGGTGCTCTTGGGCTTGCAAAGAAATGATCTCCCCCAGATTCATGTTGTAGATGGGGGTTTATTTAAGAGGAAGGAAAAGAAAATAGAAATAAACATACAGTTGAAGTTTCCAGTCTCTTTCTCTTGTGTTTCTACCCCGTGGAGAGCTTCAGAAAAAGAAAACCTCTCAACCGACACGTTTCTTTTAACTCTTTCTATTTTTTTTATTTTTTTTTTTAATATATTTTATTGATTTTTCACAGAGAGGAAGGGAGAGAGATAGAGAGAGTTAGAAACATCGATGAGAGAGAAACATCGATCAGCTGCCTCTTGCACATCTCCCACCAGGGATGTGCCCGCAACCCAGGTACATGCCCTTGACCGGAATTGAACCCGGGACCTCTCAGTCCGCAGGCCAACGCTCTATCCACTGAGCCAAACCGGTTTCGGCGTTCTTTTAACTCTTTCTGCTGTAACTTTGTCTTGCCTGTTATAAAGGACAAATAAACGGAGAAGGAAATCACTGGAAATTCAGTCCTCAATTACCCTTAGTAATTCAAGGAAAGTAGAAAGAAACAAGGGCCAGTGCCTGTGCATTTTCCTTTTTGCTCTTTCTTTGAGCCAATAATTCCTCAAGCACCATTCACTCCTTTGCAAACCAAAGCTTTGAAGGTGAGCTTATCAAGACTCAGCAGAAGTTAAAGTGTTAATATGATAGGTTGTGTACTGTATGGCAAATTTTGTATAATGTTTAAATTTTTGTGTAATGTGTCATCTTCTAGTAAAGTGTTTTTTTTTGTTTGTTTTTTTGGAGGAAAAATAGCTATACAAAGATTGTAAAGATTTTCACCCATGAAGTGGAGTCTAAATGATTCTGAAAGTATAGATAAATAAATTTAAATAAGATGTGTGCTGTTTTTTAAAATTATAAATTATTTAATCCATTGGCTGTCTAAAGTATAATGTATAATAGCAACTAATGGTAAACATCAATATCCCGCATGTTTCCTTTAAAATCAGAAACCATTCATTTAAATTATCATTTTCTATCTCTTGTAAATGGAGATTCATTAGGGCATTCTTTTCCTTCTTTTCTTAGTGTTCGGTCCTCAATGAGAAGCTTGAACAACTGCTCCAGGCTTTGCGTACAGACTCCCAGGCTGCTCCTGTTCTCCCAGGCATCAGCCCTGTCCTTGTAGAAGAAGATACAGTGGAATCTTCGAGTGAAGAGTCCTTGTGTGAAAGCAAGGAACAGCTCTTGGATGACACTACAAAACCTTCCTCCCAGAAAGCAGTGAAACCAAAGGAAATAATGTTGCGGGCAAATAGTTTAAAGAAAGCAGTGAGGCAAGTCATTGAAGAAGCTGGAAAAGGTACACATATTAACAAAATGGGCTTTTGAAGATGTTAGCAACATTCTCCTTGCAAGCACAATAAAATGTTCATATTGGTCACACTGGACACACATAAAAAAAATTTTTTTAAGACAAGGTAAAAGATAAAATAATTAAAGCAAAATTTATACTAGTAAATAGTTCTAGTTATTGTTTCAGTAGTAGGGATCAACATAGTAATGCTACTTGAAAAATAAAACCTCAGAAACAAAGTATACTGGAATCATAGAAATAAAATTAAAAATTGCTTTAAATAATATTCTAAGATTTAAAATATTTTTTACTTAATTGGAATCTTTGAATTCTAAACAAAAATCAAACCTGTATACTACTTTAAAAATATTTTCCTAATATTTTTTTCTAAATGTTTAGTTTGCTTTTTTAAGAGTTTATAAAAGTTTTGCCTATACTTTAATTTTTATCTATATATATATAAAAGGCTAATATGCAAAGTGTCCCCTTGGGAGTTTGACCAGGAGACCAGTTCTGTCACTCGCTATGACATGCACTGACCACAAGGGGGTGGTGTGGAACGAAGGAAGGCCCTGGCCGGCAGCTGGGGAAGGGAGGCTCCGGCCAGCAACCGGAAGGAAGGCAGCCAGAAGGCCCCAATCAGCCCCGATTGCCGGCCAGGCCTAGGGACTCTACCAGAGCACAAATTTCGTGCACTGGGCCTCTAGTGTTAATATAATATGTATAATCTTAGAACTTCTATAGTAGACTAAAAGTAAATTTTAATGTAGATAATAAGTATCCAAAATTCTTTACAGGTTGTAACTTGTAATTGGACTTGTATTTCATTCTCTAAATTTCTTATGTTTTATTTTTTTCTTCTAATAAAAATGTAATTTTGACAATTTACTTTTATAATCTCTAGCATTTATAGACATTATTTCCAGGTTTATTGTCAATTAGTGTTTATATGTGACTATGGAATTTCTTTTGGTTTATGTTTCAATTTTCCTTCCCTAAGCATATATTGATTTTATTTTTTCTTGTTTCAACATGTTTATCTTCTTATTACTTAAAGTTATGGATGAGCAGACAGTTCACTCCTGTGAGCCAGTTAATCAATCATTCGATTATGATAGTACAGAAACAGATGAATCTAAAGAAGAATCTAAAGATGATGATGCAAAAGAGTCATTAATTGGTAAGAAAATTATTTTGCAATTAAATAAAACATAATTGTGCTTTTAGTTTTCAAAAGGATTGTCAGTTTGAAATAAACTATTTGTATTTTGTTTTCAACAAGGCTTTTCAAAATTTAAAGCTTAGCCATTCATGAATACTAAAATAATAAAGGTAACATTATTTAGACTAAATTCTCTCACTTTTTATCACATAATGTAGAGATTATTATAGTAAACTAAGGATTGTAGGACCAAACATGCTTAAATATCTCAATTTTCCTTAAAAAAGAGAGAAGAAGCAAAACACCTAAACCACCAGATTTTAACCTGTTTGAACCCACACATCCCTTTGAGAATTATATAAAAATTGTAGGCCCCACATTCATAAAATTTGGCATTTAAATAATTCATCAATTCCTTGAGTTCCATTGATCAGCAAATAGATGGTTAATAATTGTTACTAAATTAAGCTTAATATTAAGATATCTAGTTACAACCCTTTCACTACTGAAATTAATTTTGCCAATAAATTAATTTGTAGTTGCTTAAAGAATATTTACGATTCCTCTACCTTTTAACTTTGGATTGAGGATGGATTTATACTTATATTGTATAAGGGAAAAATTAATATACTAGACTAAAACAAAGAAATTAAAATATTGAGAAGATAATATGAAAATATTTCCATAGTACTATTGTAAAGTCAACACTTATATTAGAGCTGTTTGCAATCATTACATTTTTACTTTCATTACATATGAACTTGAGCAGATTACTATTCTGTGGCTTTCTCATCTGTAAATGGGAGTAATAATATACCTGCTTCATAACAACCTACTTGTTGCAAAGGATAAGTTAATACACAAAGTGTCTAGAATAGTGACTCAGATATAGTGCTGTTTATATGAGTGTTTATTGTCATTGTCATTATTATTATTGCTATTACTGCCACTGCTACTAATTACATTCACTTTGAAAGACTATTCCTTAATTGTATTTAAAACTCTATAAGAGGCTTCAAAATGAGACCTTATAGACCTTACATGTCTGGCATATTCCACAACCTTAGCCTTTTCAGACTTCCTGTATGCATATTCCAGCACACATGAACTTCACACTTACATTGTAATTGGCAAAGAAAACTAAGAAATACAGATACGGAGCTATAGATATTGATATTGAAGTAGACAGATTATATGCATCTTTAACGATGCAGTATTTTATCTTATTTGTTGGGGAGTAATCCAATTTAGTCAGAATCAGCAATAAAAGTGTTTCTGCATTAAATAATCATTATTTTTTGAAGCACACTCATTGCATTATCATTATTTTGTGTAATGATTCATATGTCTGAGATGTGCAAAATACAGTATATTAATATGATTAATGAGACATTTAAGAACTGTGAAACATTAATTTATTTACCTGCAATGGAACATCGATCTTAGCCACCAGGATGCTCTCTGCTTTTTATCAGAGTTGAATATCAAAAGGTTGTTTTTATTAGAAGTTAGCTCCAGAGCTTCCATCTGTCAAAAAAAGAGCGTGTCTGTTCAGTTACTTTTCTTTAGTGTAACTGGACTGTTTTTTAACAGAGAAGAGAGTATAAGATTAATATAATTAGTTTGTAATTAGTCTTAGGAAGTCTAAAGGTAATTAAGTTTGAGTATTTTTAAATTGAGTTAGAGGATTACTGTTTCTTTAAACACCTGCCAATAACTCCTAAATTAGTTAAAGATATATGTGCTCTCCATTAAAATTCTCCAGTTTAGGTTTAATTAAATTTCTATTTTTGTCGTTAATTTTGAGAGTAATTTTCTTTTGGAACAATTTTTAAAATGTATTGAGCTTTTACAAAACACAATGGGACTGTTTGGGGCAACTCTTTGTTTTAAATAAATAACTAATTGAGAAGCACAGGAAAAGTATATTGCTTTCATTTGAAAAAAGAACCTATTTTCTCTTTCATTTATAGAAGAAAATTTTAACTCATGGTTAAAATAACAGCTCTGGGAAATACATTAATTAAATTTGACCATTCATCCAACATATATGAAAAAAGGGTTGCACTGATAACATACATAACCCATATGTTTTATTTTTAAAAATTATCAGGTTTCAGAATTTTTTTATCTTTACATATGGGATGATCACATTCAAATTATGACTATTACTGACCTTTAATTATGGTAGGCATCTCTTTTCTAATGATCTCCACCTATTTAAAATGAGAGATCAAGATCAAGTTTCTCCATATAGTAAATCTCAAGAAAATGAAAATGGTAAAATAGGTAAGCACAGTGTAATATTTTCATTTTCAGTTCTATGGATTGATTTAAATATGTATTAAATTATTTTATGTCGTGAATTTATAGGGGCTTGCTTATTTCTATAACTTTATCATTTCTTCTTTTTAATCTGGACCTTTTGCCAACAGTTAAAAGTGCACCTCGGTCTCCAGATGGCCGGGCAAGTCGTTCCCAGACTGACTCTGGCCCTGGCCCAACTGTGGCAGCCAGCAAAGAAAACCTCCCTGTGCTCAACACCAGAATAATCTGCCCAGGTAGTACATATTCTGAAACATGGTATCTTTTTTAAGTATTTTTGTAAAAATGTATAGCTACTCATTTCTATGAACTTTTAAAATGTGTATTTTTTATTAATATGTATTTTTATTGATTTCAGAGAGGAAGGGAGAGGGAGAGAGAGATAGAAACATCAATGATGGGAGAGAATCATTGATTGATCGAGCCCACAACCTAGGCATGTGCCCTGACCAGGAATGGAACTGTGACCTCCTGGTTCATAGGTCGGTATTCAACCACTCAGCCAGGCTAGCCGGGCTTTTTTTGCTTGTTTTTTAATCCTCACCTGAGGATTTTTTTTCCTCATTGCTCTTTTAGAGAGAAGAGAAGGGAGGGAGAGGGAGGTAAATATTGATTGAGAGAGACACATAGATTGGTTGCTTCCCACACATGTCCTCACTGGGGCAGGGATCGAACCTACAACCCATGTACATGCCCTTGATTGGAAATTGAACCTGTGACCTTTCGGTCCTTGGGCCAACATTCTAACCACTGAGAAACACTGGGCAGGGCTAAAATGTGTTCTTAAAGATAAATGTCCCTTCAGGAGAACGTGCTTGGTACATTTATCAACCAGAATCCAGATCCTTTAACTTTTTTGTGTATAAGAATTGCCTAGAAAGTACTAAAATACATGTTTATGGTCTCTGCCCTGAGAAATTTTGTTTGAGTAGTTCTAGAGTAGAACCCAGTAATCTGCATTTACTAAGTACCCAAGGTAAATCCAATCTTATATTCTACTCCCTTTGAAGTGTCTTCACAGGTTTCCTTTTAGTTTTAAGCCACAGTCTCTCTGCAGTTATTTCTGAATTAGAAATATTGTTTAATTTGGAACATCTGAGAAATCTATTCCAGACCTGACAAGATGAATTTATTTTGGAATTAGGTTTGTACTAGTGATAACCAAAGAACTTGTGCAGCAGAGGAGGGAGGAAAAGGCAGATGTCTCAGAAGCCTTCTTAAGTGCCAGCTATTTCAATTAATGAAAATCTCCAGATGCATTCCAGAGTAGATTGGAACCCAAATTACATCCTGAAATCTAACACAACTTTGTGTCTTCTATAAATTGTTTCTAAAGGTGAATTACAATTCAATAATAATAGTTGGAAACTTTAGTACCCCTCTTTCAGTAGTGGATAGAACAACTAGACAGAGATCAAGAAGGAAATTGGAGACTTGAAAACACATAAAACAAGTAGTCAAAACAGATGTTTACAGAATACCCAACAACAGTAGAGTACACATTCTTTTCAAGTACATATGGAACATTCTCCAAGATATACTAAATATTAGGCCATAAAACAATTCTCAGTAAGTTTAAAAGGATTGAAGTCATACAAAGTACATTTTCTGACCACAACTGGAATGAAATTATAAACTAATAACAGAAGGAAATTTGAGAAATGCACAAATATGTGGATCAAAAGCTGTGATATATTTACACCATGGAATACTATGCAACAGTAAAAAAGAAGGGTCTCTTACCCTTTGAGACAGCATGGAGGGACCTGGAGAGTATTATGCTAAACAAAATAAGCCAGTCAGAAAAAGGCAAGTATCACATGATCTCACGCATATGTGGAATCTGAAGAACAAAATAAACTGATGAACAAAATAGATCCAGGGATATAAAAACATAGAACAGACTGTCAAATCTTAGAGGGAAGGTGGGGGTAGATAGGTGAGTAGAAAGAGATTAACTAAAGAATTTATATGCACATATGCATAACCCGTGAACACAGACAATAGGGTGGTGAAGGCCTGAGACGGGATGTGGGTGGGGGTTAGAAGGGGTCAATGGGGAAAAAAGGGGACATCTGTAATACTTTCAACAATAAAGATACATTTAAAAAGAGAAAAAATCATAAAATATGCTTTGATATGAATGAAAACAAAAATATATCATATGCCAAAACTTATTTGATACAGCTAAAGCAGTGCTTAGAGTAAAATTTGTAGCTGTAAATGCCTATATTAAAAAAAGTAGAAAGATCTCAAAACCTAGCTCTCCAACTTAATAAACTGGAAAAACAAGAAGAGCAAACTAAATTCAAAGCAGCAGTAGGAAGGAAATCAATAAGGATTAGAGTAGAAATAAATGAAATTGAGTATAGAAAACAAGACAGAAAAGCAATGAAACCAAAAGTTGATCTGTGAGCAGATTAACAAAATTGACAAAACTTTACATTGATCAAGAAAGTAAGATAGGCCAAACCGGTTTGGCTCAGTGGATAGAGCGTCGGCCTGCGGACTCAAGGGTCCCAGGTTCGATTCCGGTCAAGGGCATGTACCTTGGTTGCGGGCACATCCCCAGTAGGAGGTGTGCAGGAGGCAGCTGGTCGATGTTTTTCTCTCTCATCGATGTTTCTAACTCTCTATCCCTCTCCCTTCCTCTCTGTAAAAAATCAATAAAAATATATTTAAAAAAAAAAAAGAAAGTAAGATAGAAGATTCAAATTACTGAAATCAGGAATTAAAACAATACATCACCATGGACTTTACAGAAATAGAAAGGATTATAAGGGAAAAACAAATTAGATAACCTAGATGAAATGGACAAACTCCTATAACACACAAACTACCAAAACTGCTTCAAGAAGAAATAGAAAATCTGAGTACACCTTAAATAAGTAGAGAGAATGAATTTATAATAAAAAACTTTCTATAAAGAAAAGCCCAGGCCCAAATTGCTTCACTGTTGAAGTTTAAAGAAGAAATAACACCGCCCTAGCTGGTTTGGCTCAGTGGATAGAGTGTTGGCCTGCAGACTTAAGGGTCCTGGGTTCAATTCTGGTCAAGGGCACATGCCTGGGTTGCGGGCTTGATCCCCAGTAGGGGGTGTGCAGGAGGCAGCCAATCAATGATTCTCTTTCATCATTAATGTTCTCTCTCTTCCTCTCCCTTCCTCTCTGAGATCAATTAAAAGAAGAAGAAGAAATAACACCAATCCTTCACACACACTTTCAAATACTAGAAGAGGAAAAAACACTTTCCACCATGCTATGAATCCAGTATTACCCTGATATAAAACCAAAGACATCACAAGAAAACTACAGATCAATATCGTTCATGAATAGCAACACAAAAATCTCCAACCAAATTCTAGCTAATTGAATAATCCAACAACTCAAAGCAATTATACACCATTACCAGTATTCTCTCAGTGATGCAACGTTGGTTCAACATAATGAAAATCAACGTGACATACCATATTAATAATGGACAAAAACACATAATCATCTCAGTAGATACAGAAAAAGCATTTTTAAAAGGTCAACATCATTTGAAGGTAAAAACACAACCAGGAATAGAAAGGAACTTCTTCAACCTGATAAAGGGCATCTATGAAAAACCTACAGCTGACATCATACTTAATGGTGAAAGGTGAAAGCTTTCTCTCTAAGATCAGGAACATGAGGAGGATGTCTACTCTTTCCATTCTAGTCAACATTGTATAGGAGGTTTTATCTTAGGAAATTAGAAAAAATAAAAAGTATTAAAGACATCCAAATTAGAAAGGAGGAAGTACTGTATGTCTTTAGGACTTATGTTACATATAGAAAATCCTAAAGAGTACACACACACACTAGTAGAGATAATAAATGAATACAAGGTTGCAGGATAAAAGATCAATATACAAAAAGTAATTGCATTTCTCTAGTAATGAACAGTCTTAACATGAAATTAAAATAATTTTATTTACAATAGCATAAAAAATAACAAAAATAAGAATAAATTTAACTAAAGGTGAAAGATTTGAATACTGAAAACTACAAAACATTGCTGAAAGCAGTTAAAGAAGATCTAATTAAATGTAAATACATCTGTGTTCATGGATTGGAAGACATAATATTATTAAGATAGCAACTCATCTCAAATTGACTACAGATTTCACACAATCCTTACCAAAATCCCAACTGCTCTTTGTGCAGAAATTGACAAGCTGATCTTAAATTTCACATGGAAATACAAAGGACCCAGAAGAGTTAAAAAACAACATTGTAATGGAAAAAGAAAGTTGAAGGACATACTGCCTGATTTCAAAACTTATTACAAAGCTACAGTGTTCAAGACCACATGGAACTGGCATCATAGTCATATAGGCCAATGGGATAGAACTGAGAATCCAGAACTCTAATATTTATGGTTAATTGGTTTTCAACAAATGTGCTAAGACAGTTATTCAACAGGAAAAGAATAGTTTTTTCAACCACTGCTACTGGAGCAACTAGATATACATAAGAACTAAGTTAGACCCTTCTTTCACACGATACATAAAAATGTAAGAGCTAAACCTATAAAACCACAAAAAGACAGTATAGACGTAAATGTTTGTAACCTTGGAATAGGCATCGATTTCTTAGAAAGCACAAGCAACACATGAAACTATAAATTGGACTTCATCAAAATTAAGGATATTTGTGATTCAAAGGACACCATCAAGAAACTACTGAGATGGCAGTCCACAGGATGGGAGAAGATATTTGCAAATAGCATATCTGATAAGTTGCTAGTATCCAGAATATATAAAGAACTAAAATTTCAACAATAAAAAGACAAATATCCCAATTTAAAAATGGGCAAAGGATCTTGGTAGTCATTTTCCCAAAAAGACATACAAATGGCCAATAAATAAATTTGAAGTTTGCATATTTAGAAGTAAGAAAAATGCTTCATTTTTTATGTTCAATACTATATTCTAAAATTTATTAATACCTACACTTAACATTTTACTACTTATTATTGACACCAACATGATTTTTCACCTTAGTATATATGTTAACATTTTAAGTTGAGTATTATCTATGCTTTGTGAATATGGAAATGGTAACTCCATGACATTTTGAGTAATTCAGCCTTTATTGTAAACTTCTTACAGTCTTAATACTTCATTTGTTCTAACAAAGGAAGTAATATTTGTTGAAGTTACAGAATCATTGGGATGGTAAATGAGAAACGGTTACCAAGAGACTCCGATGTAGGTACTCATCTGTTTCTCTTTTTTTTATAGCAACATATAGACTCTAAGAAGCATCAAAAGCCTTGTACCTACCAATGTCATAATTCTTAATTTTTATTAATGAGAAGAGCAGGCACTGAAAACCATGCTTTGAAATTAGTCCTAAAAATATGGACTGGATTTTCCTTAACATGTGATCCTGTATATGCTTATTTTTCCCTGTCCAGGTTTAAGAGCAGGACTAGCTGCCTCAATTGCTGGGAGTTCTATTATCAACAAAATGTTACTAGCAAATATTGATCCTTTCGGTGCAACGCCATTTATTGACCCAGATCCAGATTCAGTGTAAGCAAATACTTCCATAGATTTTGTTTTGGCTTTTCTTGTCACTGTTTGATACTAATGGTAACATTTAAAATGTATTACAATAAATACGGTTCCACGTACAAAAAGAATCATCAGAAAATGTCAGCAGTTGATAATGATGAGCACATTGGCCCTTGTGCAATACAGTGGTTTTCATGACCTGTTCCTGAGGTGGGTCCCTTCCAGCTGTTGCCTTAGACCAGCGGTTCTCAACCTGTGGGTCGCAACCCCTTTGGGGGTCGAACGACCCTTTCACAGGGGTCGCCTAAGACCATCAGAAAACACATATATAATTACATATTGTTTTTGTGATTAATCACTATGCTTTAATTATGTTCAATTTGTAACAATGAAATTGGGGGTCACCACAACATGAGGAACTATATTAGGAAGGTTGAGAACCACTGCCTTAGACAATAAGCCTATGGCGAAGTGAGACTCCGCTCTATACTCGCTTTTCTCTGGAACATTTCATTCACTGACTCTTTCATATCCATATTCATGCTATTCCTTTCACCTCCTTTCTTCTTGGTCTTGCCAAATCTGTCATCTTCCACTTCCAGCTTCTGGGTTTAGTTATTTCAGGAAGCTTTTGGCCCACATTGATCTCTTCCCTTCTTAAACTCCTAAAAATTTTTTGGCAGTTCAATATATCTTCCTTTTACTTCCATGTTTAATTTTGCCTGACTGTATCTCATTTCTCTAATGACAACCCTCAACAACAAGACCATATTTTAAACTTTGTGCTTTCCAAAGTACCTGGAAGAATGGAATAGATCCGGTAGGGTTTTGCTTATTAAGTATTTATCCATTGATAAGAGTAGGAGTGGAGGAGTCTTTCTAATGATGAAAAAAGAGGAGTCTTGCAAGCCCTTCCATTTGTGTGTGTAGTGAGGGCTCATGTAGGAGAGAGAACTGAGATTTTTGTGAGACAGTGGAAAAGCATTGCCATGACTCTTTCTTCATTTTGTCTTGCCCACCATCCCTTTATGTGTTACCAGCATTTACACACATATACTGGAGTCGTGCATAGTTCATGTGAATAGGAAGTGATTTCTGCTCAACTTTACTCTCAGGAATGGAAGCTTTAATGGTGTTAAGTGCTGTGTATAAATTGTAATTGTTATGAACTGAAATTGACTTTTATGTACTTTTCCTTATTATCATAGAGATGGATATTCAGAAAAATGTGTCATGAACAATTACTTTGGGATTGGATTAGATGCAAAAATTTCATTAGAATTTAATAATAAGAGAGAGGAGCACCCTGAAAAATGCAGGTAATTTTGGTAATAGTAATAATGTTATTACATGAAGGCAATTTTACTTTGATTTCATTTATTATCTCTTTTGCTTGCTCTGCCTTTAAAGACTAAATAAATAGTAGTTACTGAAATTGCCTGCCAACATTTATTTTCAGGAGCCGAACTAAAAACTTGATGTGGTATGGAGTCCTTGGAACCCGGGAGTTACTACAGAGATCATACAAGAATTTAGAACAGAGGGTTCAGCTTGAGGTAAGTTTATCTTAAAGTAAAGACATTTCAGGTTATCTTACTTAGGAAAATGATTGTATTTGGCCAAAATTCCTCTTGATTAGTGTTTAAACACTTGAGGGGAAAAAATGGAAGTAGTTACCAACTTTCTACTAAGGAGGTATAGACATTAGATATGAGTGACACAATTATCATAATCATTAGCCCTGAAATTTGAATGCTGCTGTGGAGTCATGGGACCCCGTAAAAAAGGTGGAGCCATGGACGTATATTTATAGGATAGATTTCTAATGGATTTCCAAATTCTGACCCAATGCTATAGTGCCTGAAGTTTCACAAATCCTTGAAAACATTTATTGTAAATAGAATGTTTTAACATAAATGTCTTTTTTGTTCCAATTATTTCTAACAAGTTAGTAAATGAGCATTTAAGTTTTTAGTTTTTTGTTTGTTTGTTTGTTTTTTACTAGTTTAAATAGGAAATTAAGGTCAGCAGAAGTTACTTAATCTCCTCTAGTAACAGGAAAAGGAAGGTTGGGGTCATGTCATGGCTCTGAAAAGTCTAATTTCTAAGACTTTTTTCTTTTACCCTTGGTCCAGGACTCACTGTTTATGCTGATAGGCATTTCATTCCTATCTTGTATCTTTTTATAACCAGCTATTTCTAATGAAGGTATATCTGACATACCAACAAGTGAGCAAATCTTACATCTGCCGCTCAATGAATTAAACAGAGGATTTTTTTATTAAATCTTTATTGTTCAGATTATTACAGTTGTTCCTCTTTTTTCCCCCATAGATCCCCTCCACCCGGTTCCCACCCCCCCCCGACCCCGTCCTCATCCATAGGTGCACGATTTTTGTCCAGTCTCTTCCCGCATCCCCCACACCCCTTTCCCCCCCAAGAATAGTCAGTCCACTCCCTTTCTATGCCCCTGATTCTATTATAATCACCAGTTTATTCTGTTCATCAGATTATTTATTAGTGATTTTTAGATTCACTTGTTGATAGATGTGTATTTGTTGTTCATAATTTGTATCTTTACCTTTTTCTTCTTCTTCCTCTTCTTGAAGGATACCTTTCAGCATTTCATATAATATTGGTTTGGTGGTGATGAACTCCTTTAGCTTTTCCTTATCTGTGAAGCTCTTTATCTGACCTTCAATTCTGAATGATAGCTTTGCTGGATAAAGTAATCTTGGTTGTAGGTTCTTGGCATTCATCACTTTGAATATTTCTTGCCACTCCCTTCTGGCTTGCAAAGTTTCTGTTGAGAAATCAGCTGACAGTCGTATGGGTACTCCCTTGTAGGTAACTGACTGTCTTTCTCTTGCTGCTTTTAGGATACTCTCTTTGTCTTTTGTTCTTGGCATTTTAATTATGATGTGTCTTGGTGTGGTCCTCTTTGGATTCCTTTTGTTTGGGGTTCTCTGCGCTTCCTGGACTTGTAAGTCTATTTCTTTCACCAGGTAGGGGAAGTTTTCTGTCATTATTTCTTCAAATAGATTTTCAATATCTTGCTCTCTCTCTTCTCCTGGCACCCCTATAATTCGGATGTTGGTACGCTTGAAGCTGTCCCAGAGGTTCCTTACACTATCTTCGTATTTTTGGATTCTTTTTTCATTTTGCTTTTCCAGTTGGGTGTTTTTTGCTTCTTCGTATTTCAAATCTTTGACTTGATTCTTGCGATCCTCTAGTCTGCTGTTGGAACTCTGCATAATATCCTTTATTTCAGTGTATGCTTAATTTCTAGTTGGTCCTTTTTCATAACCTCGAGGGTCTCACTAGATTTCTTGAGGGTCTCACTACATTTATCGGTGGTCTCACCAGTCTTTTTGAGGGTCTTACTAAATTTATCGGCCGTTTCTAGAGAGTTCTTGAAAAACCTTAAAAGTGTGGTTTTGAACTCTATATCGAGTCGTTTGCTTTCCTCCATTTCTGTCATTTGTGACCTGTTTCTTTGTCTCTGCATTTTTTATGCTTCCCTGTGTTGGTAGAGTGGCTTTGTGTGCTAGGTGTCCTATAGGGCCCAGTGGCTCAGCCTCTCCAATTACCTGAGGTGGACACTCTTGGTGCACCCCTTTGTGGGCTGTGTGCACAGTCTTGTTGTAGTTAAGCCTTGATTGTTGTAGGTATCACTGGGAGGAATTGACCTCCAGGCCAATTGGCTGTGAGAATCAGCTGTGTCTACGGTGGGAGAACTTCTGTGCTGAAGACACCCTGTGAGGCTAGACTTGCTTCAGTGGAGCTTTGGTGCTCACTGAGTCTGCCCCCTGAGTGTGTCCCTTATGGATCTGAGGAGTTGTAATTGGATGGTCCCACTCTGACCACTGGGTACACTGGCTCTTGGATCTAAGGAGGTGCTAATTTAGCCTCTGCCTGAGGCTACCCAGCAGGAGCTACGAAGAGATCTGCAGGTTCCCCTTCCTTGTTTGGGGTTTGGAGGTGCCCAAATGAGGCCCAGCTATGAAGCAATGCAAGCTGCTGTGGGGCCTTGGGCCTTCTTTTTGGGTGTTCTGGGTCTCTCTGACCCAGCTACAGTTAGTTAGGTAATTTTAGATTGCAAAGGGCCAGGGCATTCATATGCAAAAGCCTCTGCCGCAGCTTGGGTGGGGCGGGGTCTCAGGGAATCAATAGGGCAGAGCAAGCAGCTATGGCTGATCCTCAGCCCTGCCCTAAGGAGGCCCGTGTCTCAGTGTCCTGGTAATCGCTGCAAGCGCCTTTGAGAGAAAGCCGCCCTCGAGTTCTGAGTTCTGCCCGCTCCCAGACAGTCCACTTTCCCCGTATGAGTCTGGGTCCCCAGAGACTCACCCAGAACTGGAGTTCAGAGCAGTCGGGGGCTTGTGACTCCCTCCCAATTCAAAAAGACAGCCGTGTCCTCAGTTGCCAGCCCTTGCCGGGTGCGCCTCAGTACCTCTGCACTTCCGCACCTCCTCTGAGTCTCAGCGTGCTTTTCTCTTTCCTTCTAGTTGTAGAATTTCCACTCAGCCAGCCTTCCTGTGGTTCTGGATGATGTTCGTTTTGTCTTTTCGTTGTATTTTTGAATTTGTTGTGGGAGGCAGCAATTTCCGGTGTTTACCTATGCCGCCATCTTGGTTCTCTAAACAAAGGATTATTATTGTAAGTGTTATTTTAACTCTGGAATGTGGACTAGTGAGTGCCTGGCTCAATTCTTACCAACTAAATGTTCTAGTAAAGATAAGCTTCTTATACTTTCTACTCTAGAGCACTGACTACTTGATCAACTATCTTGATTAATCAGTGCTTTTAAAAGTTAAGATAGATGTTACTCACCGAAAAGGTGAAGAATTTGGAAGGCTTAACACTAGTAAAGGTTGTCCTGACAGCCCATCCCTAGATCAACTTGGGTTCTCTCCTCTGCATTGTACTGTAATCATTCATTGTCTTATCCACATCCTCTAGTTAGCCACACTCTTTAAGGATAGGTAGGATGTTGTATTCATCTTTGTTATCCCAAGTGTCTTGCACAATTCCTGGCCCTGTCCTGAGGGAGAAACAGAGGTAAATAATCATTTAACCATAATTTGGCAAGTACTGTGAACTTTCTGGAATCAGAATGGCCTGATTGCTTTAATTCCTTTAGCTCTTCAGAAATAGTATTTCTAACCTTTTCTATTGGTGGTCCAGATTTAGAGCAAGACCATCTTCCTTGCCCTAGCTGGTTTGGCTCAGTGGATAGAGCGTCGGCCTGTGGACTGAAGGGTCCCAGGTTCGATTCTGGTCAAGGGCACATGCCTAGGTTGCGGACTTGATCCCCAGTGGGGTGCGTGCAGGAGGCAGCCGATCAATGACTCTTCATCGTTGATGTTTCTATCTCTCTCTCCCTCTCCCTTCCTCTCTGAAATCAATAAAAAATATATATATATATTTTAAAAAGACCATCTTCCTTATGCAGCTGCATTTTACACTCCATTTAACATGGGTTTTAACCCTTTTTGAGCTGTGGCATGCTGTTGAAACCATGGACCTCCTCTGAGAATATTGTTTCTAAATGCATTATGTAAAATACATAGACTTAAAAAAGAAACCATTAATATGGAAATAAATTAATGAAATATTTAAACTATTAGAGAGTATGTTAAATTAAGCAATTTAAATAGAACTTCTTTTGAAGATGAGATGTTAATTTTTTTTCATACCATGTATCCAAATAAAGTGTATTCATTTATAAATCTTTAAAGCTGCTCTGAATTTTTTCATTTAAACTAAAAAAAAACACAACACAGCTCAGTTCACCCATTTCTTCTATCCCCCAACCCCTGCCTCTTGGCAACCACCAATCTTTTCTCCGTATTTATGAGCTTTTTTTTAGATTCTATATCTAAGATTATATGGTATTCTGAGTTATTTTAAATGGTTGAATCTAATGGAAAAAAAAAATAAACTGTTGAACAAAATAGATCCAGAGACATAGAAGCATGGAACAGACTGTGGAATCCCAGAGGGTAGGAAGCGATCAACCAAAAAAGTTGTATGCATATATGCATAACCCATGGACACAGACTATAGGGTGGTGAAGGCCTGGGACATGGGGCAGGGTGGGGTCAATGGGAAAAAGGGGGACATATGTAATACTTTCAACAATAAAGATCTAAAAAATAATAATAATAACACTACAGGCTTTGTATTCCAGAGATATAAAACTTCTAATTTGGAACAGGTTGTCTTTCTTTCAAACTATTATTGTCAAAATTCTTTGTGAATCAGCCAATAAATAGCATATCCCAGCAATGGTGAAGCTACTTCCAATTTGAGTTGGTGGACAGTTATTCAAAGGAGTACCAGAAAGATCACTTAGTGGTGTTTCAATGTTTACAGAATAAAACCTGTATTCCTTAAGTTGATATTCAGTGCTTTTCACAGATGTATACCTCCCAGGATTTACTTTATATCTCTCTTAATTTTTAATCCTCTGCTCAAGAAAATAAAGTTAATCTTTAAAACTCCAGGAAATCATGTTTTTATGCACTTTTGTTCAAGCTCTTCCTTTTCTTATTCCTTCGCTGATCTAACTCTGGATAAAGCCTTTTGAAAATTCTCTACCAGTTAGTTGTCATTTTCCTCCTTCTTCCTTAAAGAAATGGAAGTAATAGAGTCTACCGAGGTTGTTTTCAAATAAAATGAGATAACATTTTAAAATAATATATAACAGGAACTACATAATACTACCTAAAGTTTTCCCTCATATTTTAAATTATATGTCCTGGATTTTAGCTATGATGAAGTATCTAAAACCAGGCTGCCATTAAATAAAACAGAGTAGAATATTGGGCAAACTATAGCACGCTTAGAAACTGAAAAGAAGTAGAGCAGGTCTATGATACTGAGAGGAGTAAAGCAAGCAAGGCTCATTTGCCTTAAAGATTGAGATAATTTTTATTGAACTTTAAATGCAATTTTTGTAAAGTTATATTAATTATTTTTAGTGTTAACATAATAATTACATAATGAAAATATAGCGTGTATATTAAGTATGACATCTGCAAACTAAACTCTTTTAAAATGAAGGTTATTCAGTAAGAATTTATTCATGTCATGTATAATTGATATCTTTTTCTTATTTAAGTGATCATTTAATTTTCATCTAAGTGATTACTTAGAAGGCATGGAGTATAAGATACTTCTTGACATACATGTGTGTTTTTGATTTTGGTTCTGACTACTTAAAAAACTCAGTTTGAGTTTATCCAGATACAGAGCACTAGCAAATTACTGGGAGCTGTGAGATATAGATGAAATGGTTAGGACCCTCACAGCAGCCACTTTCAAAGGAAAGCTTAATATACATACTAAGATTATCTATAATAATAAAAGCGTAATATGCTAATTAGACCAGATGTCCTTCAGGATGAAGCCAGAGCCCGAGAAAAGACGGTGCTGGCAGCCAGGGGAAGGAAGGCCTGCTCTTGCACGAATTTCGTGCATTGGGCCTCTAGTGATACTATAAGTGAGAATATCATAACTGACCTGAAAAAAATAACCTCAAGATAAGTATTGATTGATTTGGGTTAAAAGAAGAGGTAAAACCTTTTTTTTGTTGTTTAGTTTGGTTTTCTGTAAAACCTGCTACAGTTATGTACACTTCCAATTTTTTAAATTAAAATCAAAGACCATAAAAGTAATGTTAGGAATATATTTACAGGGAAACAGACATTACCAACACACTTGCCTCCATCATCCTTTGTCTTTGGTGTACTACTGGCTTCCAAACTAGTGGTTTTCCTCTTTTTATCTAACTTCTAAGCTTTTTACCTTACAGTGTGATGGACAGTATATTCCTCTCCCCAGTCTGCAAGGAATAGCAGTACTGAACATTCCCAGCTATGCCGGAGGCACTAACTTTTGGGGTGGAACTAAAGAGGACGATGTAAGTATTTCCTTGCTCTTTCCAGATTCTAGAGGCTGCCCATGTTCCTTGGCCTGTGGCCCCTTTCTATCCTCATAGACAACAAGGGCAGCTTGAGTCTTCTCTCATTGCATCTTTCTGATCTCCTCTACTGCCTTCCTCTTCTACTTTAAATGACCTTTGTGATTACATTGGGCCTACCCACATCATCTAGGATAATCTCCCCATTTTAGGATCCCTAATTTAATCACATCTGCAAAGTCTCTTGCCATGTGAGGTAATATTCACAGGTTTTGGGGATTAGGACAGAAACATTTTGTTTAGGGTTGTTGGGAGCCATTATTCTATCTACCAAAATACCTTTCTGTACTTTTAGTTTTCTAAATTTATGTGATATTATTATTTTTTTTAATTTTAGAAATGTCAAGAGGGTTTATTTGGCCATTGAGGTTGAGTGCTATTTTTGTTTTCTTTTTTATAGTTTCCTATATTAAAAAAGAAAAAACACACAACCTAAGAAAGGTAATTGTTCTAAAAATAATTTTTAAAAGCAAGGACACAATTATTAAAGTATATATAACATAAAAATGAGAAGTGTTATCACCATCTTTGTTTGAAGAGTCACATACATTCAATAATAGATCCTTTGCTTTGAGGCTTATGATATAACAGTTCCACTGACCCATCTTCTCAGAGCTATTAAATAAGCATGCAGGAATTAAAGTATAAATATATTGGAAAGAACTTTTAGTATTTACAATGTGAATATATTCACTTTCTACTGAAGTATAAAAACCTAACATGAGCAGTCAGTTTATTGTCAGCCTGTCACTACTCATTTTTTGTTTGTTTGTTTGTTAATCCTCACCTGAGGATATTTTTCCATTGATTTTTTTCAGAGAGAGTGGAAGGGAAGGGAAGGGAGAGAGAAAGAGAGAGAGAGAGAAAGAGAGGGAGAGAGAGAGAGAGAGAGAGAGAGAGAGAGAGAGAGAAAGAAAGAAACATCAATGTGAGAGAGACACATTGATTGGTTGCCTCCTGCATGAGCCCTGTCCAGGGCTGGGGATGGAACATGCAACCCAGGTATGTGCCCTTGACCAGAATTGAACCAGAGACCCTTTGGTGAGCGACACTCTAACCACTGACCCACTCCGCCAGAGCAGCCTGTCACTACTCTTAAATATTTTAAGGGGAAGAAATTAGTGAGATTAAGATGAATAAAGCTGCCCAGTCAGTGTGGCTTAGTGGTTGAGCATCTACCTATGAACCAGGAAGTCGAGATTCAATTCCTAGTCAGGGCGTGTGCCCGGGTTGTGGGCTCCATCCCCAGTGTGGGTCGTGCAGGAGGCAGCTCTCCCTCTCCCTTCCTCTCTGAAATCAATAAAAATATATTTTTAAAAAATTAGGCAGTCTGATGACAAAAGCGATAATTATCAATGTTCGCAAATTTGGGTCCTGATAGTTTCAGTGAATGTTTTCATTAGGACACTGCTTTATACTGAATTTTTTTTCCAGAGGTCTAATTATTTATGATATAGTAAAAGAAAGTAAAAGGGGAAAAGTAATATAGGTGAAATTTAAAACTTTAGGTTAAATTAATTTTGTGAAAATCCAGTTAACATCAAAGCAAAGTAAGTCTTACATGATTTTTATCCCTTGAGGTTTCTTGTCCATATTCTCAAATGCCCTAAAGAGTTATTGTATTAATATAGAAAGCCCATATACATATTGCTTGTAACACCTTGAAAGATTCCCTTAAAGCTTACCAAGTGAACTGGATCATAATCTTCATGTTCATTAGCTTTAACCTTATGAAATCTATATCCCCTTTGGTTGTGTTTTTTTAGATTTCTTAAAACTGTCATTTTGTCAAGACATTTGAGTTATGTATAAACAGATATTTAATACATTTTATACCAAGATGAATTATGAGGAGCATGAGTATTATGTCCTGTGGGTCTTAAAACCTATTTTTATTAGGTTTGTTTGTTTTAAGACATCTTCAGCGATATCTTTGTCCTTGGGTTATCATTTCCTACTAATACTTCATTTTCTTCGTATTTTTATAATTTTTTAAAACTATGTATATTACAGAGTTTGCATTGCCTGACTTAACTTAAACCTTAATTTCATTAGTGGAAGTGTAATGTCGTTTTTCCTTTCAGATATTTGCTGCACCATCATTTGATGACAAGATCCTGGAAGTCGTTGCAATATTTGATAGTGTGCAAATGGCGGTTTCAAGGGTCATTAAACTACAGCATCATCGAATAGCCCAGGTTTGTTTTTCTAATCGAATCTGACTTCACTACTTGGGACACTGGGGAAGCTATTTCAGATGACTCCTACACTGTATATTCATTTTAAAATATTGACTTTCTTGTCATGTCAGTTGTTACTATGTCATCGCAAGTGGAAAATTATAACATACCATTCCACAGTATGGACTAAACGTCAAGCTTGGATGTGGATTGTCAATTTCTCAGGATGATTTGTATTCTAAAATAACTTGTTTTGTTTCAGTGCCGTACAGTAAAAATCACTATATTTGGTGATGAGGGAGTCCCAGTGCAGGTGGATGGTGAAGCATGGGTTCAGCCTCCAGGGATTATCAAAATTGTGCACAAAAACAGAGCTCAGATGCTAACAAGGGACAGGGTATGTAATCAAAAACATTCCTCCAGACTTTTATTAAGCCTTCTAAAAATATCTTAAATTATCACCAAAAAAAATAGAAATCAAGAGAAAAGGTTGAAATTGCCGTTTAAATCTGACATTTAAGTCATTGTGGTTTTAAATATGAACAAATATTTTAGTTTTTTAAAAAGTTAATAGGTTGTTTTTTTTTTAGGTTTACAGAAAGTGCAGAAAATTTTAATTCTGTTCCCACAGACCTCATCACCTGGACAAGCAAATAAATGCCTCTATTATTATTGCATCTTGTATTAGCACATTTTTTACAATTGATTAGCCAATATTGATATATTATTATTAATTCAAGCCTTTTAGTTTGCATTACTGTTTGCTGTTCATTCTGTAGGTTTTGACAAATGTATAATCACTGGTATTCACCATGACAGGATGATACAGAGTAGTTTCACTGCCCTAAAAATTCCTTGTACTCCACCTATCCATCCCTCCCTCTCTTACCCCAGCCCCTGGAAACCACCAATCTTTATACTATCTCCATAGTTTTGCCTTTTCTAGAATATGCATTTTCATTTATTTATTTTTAAAATATGTTTTTATTGACTTTAGAGAGAGGAAGGGAGAGAGAGAGAGAATCATCAATGAGAGCGAAACATCAACATCGATTGGCTGCCTCCTGCACGCCCCGGCTGGGAATGGAGCCTGCAAACCAGCCATGTGCCCTGACTGGGGAATCGAACCATTGACCTCTTGGTGCGTGGGTCAATGCTCAGCCACTGAGCCACACAGGCTGGGCAAGAATATGCATTTTTTAAATAAAGTCACACACCTAACAAATAAGACTGCCAATGTTTATCCTATCTGTTATACATTGATGATAATAATAAAAAAATTGAAGCTATCTTTTTTTTTAACATTTTAATAACATATTTATCATCAACAATTACATTACTTTTAATTTATTGTGATATGCTGGAAAATTTTAAAGTGTGTTTTTTATACTTATGATTTATTTAATGATGTGTTAAATTAGGAAAAAAACCAATAGATGTTTTAAAGGCATAATATCTAAATACACATTTATTTGGGTTTCTGAGGCTCTAAACTAACAGTTCATTGTAATATTGATTTTTAAATAGGCTTTTGAAAGCACTCTGAAATCTTGGGAAGATAAGCAGAAGTGTGATTCTGGTAAACCAGTTCTTCGAACCCATTTGTACATCCAACATGCTGTTGACTTGGCAACGGAGGAGGTGTCTCAGATGCAGCTGTGCTCCCAGGCTGCGGAGGAGCTCATTACGAGGTAGGGTAGTCCTGCTGGCTTTTGGGCTGTGAGAACTCTGGTCTTGGCCAGTTTTGTTTTATGAGTCCTAATACATCATTTCATATATTTGTGGTATCTAACAGATGAATTTCTGCTCCTTCTTCATTTGCTGCCTCAATACTTGCTGCTCTCCTTCATCAGATCCCCTCCAGCACATATGCTCACACCTGTGTTCTCTTGGACTGTGAACAGGTCTTGCACTTCTTGAAACACATGGAGAGCTTGCCTAATGTACCCAGCACACAGTACTCTTTGTTCCTGTTTGTTTCCCCAGTTTATACGCAGTCTTTACTGACACATATTGCCTTATAATTAATTATTAATTAAATGTTGATAGAATGTAGAAAGAAATGGAATCAATGCTCCCAAGGAGAGTCGGGGGGTGGAGGGGATGGGAAGAGCCCGAGAATCAGTTTCCAAAGATTGAGAGACCACACAGAAATTATTTTTAGTAGACAGAAAGGGAAAAGATAGAAATAACAAGTTCTATGCATGTAAGACATAAAATCACCAAGACCAGGAGTAACCTTCAGAGGGAAGGAGGCACCACAGACAGTGGGGGTAAGTAAGAGCTGCCTTCCCAGGTCACTGTGAATATTGAATGAGACCCACCATGTACAGTGCTTGTTAACACATCATGTCTGGCACATGTTGTGTTCTCTGAATGGTAGCTATTATATTCTTCCCACACCTTCATCTGGACACGATTACAATGTTGAAAAAGAAAAGAAGGAAAATAGAGCTCAGTGGTACTGGAGGCTTACTTGCCCCCTTTCCCTCCCTCCTACCTACTGTCTGCTTCCCGCCCCCTCATTCCTTATTCTCCTCTTTAACTATTTCTCAGACACCTAGAATGTGCTTGATGCTAGAGATACTGAGAAAAAGGCATACACTCCCTACTGCTAGAAACCAAAATTCAAAATTAGAATAAAGTATGATAACTGCCAGATACTGAGTTGCTTAGAAAAAATGTAGGGAAAATGAATATTGAGTCAGCTAAACTCACATGACTGCATTTTTGTACCTTTAGATTCTTATCCACAGAGATATTAGTTTTAGAGTAAATACTTCTCTTTTAGATACTATGGACAACATCTATGGACTCCATTTTACAGTTTACCCCCCAGATTTATCGAGGTATAATTAGCATAAAAATTATATTTAAGGTGTACAATGTGATGATTTGATGTACATTAACACTGTAAAATATTTACCATAATCAAGTAATTAATATATAATATAAAAAACATATGGATGTTCCTCAAAAATTTAAAGATAGAACTATATCATTTTCTTGAAACCAAAATATACTTCCTATATTATCATCCTGTCAAACAACCAAATAACCTTATCAAAAAAGGAAGTACACCTTGTCCAGACTTGGTTTTGGCCAACCTAGTTTGTTTCCCATATTTTTTTTAAATTTTGCAAAAGGTGAAAATCAGGCACACTAGTATTTGAATATCAAATGAATAAATTTATTCATCCAATATTCAACAAATAATTTGAACATGTTCTGTGTGCCAGGCATCAGTTTAGTCACTGGGAATGCCAAGGCGACTGTGTTGCAGTCCCTCTTCTTAATTTGCTGGCATAGTAGTAGAAGGAAGAAGTGTGGCTGAAGTGTTGTCACAGGTCACACAGTGGGTGCTGTGGTCACACAGAGGAGGCCAGAGGCAGTGAGGGAGGCTGCCTAGAGGAAGTGACTGCTCAGCTGAGTCTTGGAAGAAGAATCCTTAGGAAACGATGAATTGAGGCAGGAGAGATGGAAAGAAGAAGATGATTTAAGGTAGAGTGGCATCTAGAATTGGTACATGGGTGTGAATTAGGATGACCCTAAGGTTTCTAGTGAAAGGCTGGATGGATTGTGTTGCCTTTGATAAAGCCATAGTATTCAGGAAGAGGAGCAGATTTTGAGAGAAAGATGATGGGTGGGTTCCATATTAGGCTAAGAGAATTTCAATTACATTAGAAATATCTAGGAGGAGATTCAGTTAGCAGTTGGGAATGTTGATGTGAGTTGATTTGCCTCTTTCTCTTTGAAAATTAGAAAAACCTTTACTCATCTCTATTCTGATAAATAACTTGTTCTTTATGATTTCTCAAGGGGATTGGTGAGAATGCTGAGGTGACATTTGCAAGTTCTTTTAGACCGTGGATATCAATTGTATGGTCCTTAATAATTAAATTCTTTTCCTTTACTCTTGATTAAACTATGTAGGATTTCCGTCTCGTCTCGTCTTTGTTCTACGCTTTCCAGATTGAAGATCATTCTCCTTGAAAATGTGTAAAGCAAAAAGGGTTTGAATAGTCTTGCCTTCTTGCTCATCTGAAAAACCTTACATCATTTTCTAGCAGTTGGAACTTTTCCTCTGTTCTCTTCTTTGGACTCTTCTCTTCCTTAGTGCACTTCAGGATTTTGTCTTTCTAGGACTATTCTTAAAGGCTTCAATTCCAGAGAACGGTGGCACAACAGTCTTTGGAGCTGGATAGACATAGATTCAAATCCTGGCTCTATTACTTATTAGCTTTGTGTATATTACTAAATCTCTCTGAGCCTCATGTCTTCATTAAGTGGAGAAAATTAATCACAGCTACCTTTTAAGTTGTGAATATTAAATTAGATAATATATATAAAACACTTAGCATATAGATGATAAATATGGCAATGTTCTTCCCCAAATCTGTTGTATTTGTTCCGGTGGAATTTTCAATGAATAAAAGATACGTTTCTACTCTCTATATTTGGGACCCCTCTCACTTTCCAATGATACTGCAAAATGAAGTATGACTATATTTTGCTTTTCCAAATAGCACTTCAATATATTTATCTGATTCTAAGCCTAACTTTTTATATAAAGACTAGAGGCCCGGTGCATGAAATTCTTGCACAGGGAGGTGGGGGAGGGCGTCCCCTCAGCCTGGCCTGCGCCTTCTCACAATCTGGGACCCCTCGGGGGATGCCCAAGTGCTGGTTTAGGCCCCATCCCTTCAGTCAGACATCCAGCAGTTGGACATCTCTCTTGTAATTCGGGACCTCTCGGGGGATTCTGACTGCTGGTTTAGACCCTTCCTTCCCTGGCTGCCAGCTGCTGGCCAGGGCCTTCATTCTGTGCCACCCCCTGGAAATCAGCACACGTCATAGCATCATAGCGAGCAATTGAACTCCCATTCTCTCGGTTGAACTCCCAAGAAGACACTTTGCATATTAGCCTTTTATATATATAGATTTTTTGGGTTAGTATTCTTTGTTTCAATGGGGTTTGAATTTTGTAAATCTACTCTGTGCCATTCATAATTGAACATTAAAAAATTTTCTTAATGACCTTTATTATATTTTTAATCTACCACTTCTACACTTCAGAAAAATCAGCAATGTTTAAAACAGTCTTTTCTTCATTTGTTTTGTTTTTGCTTTCAGGATTTGTGATGCAGCCACAATCCACTGTCTCTTGGAGCAGGAACTGGCCCACGCTGTGAATGCTTGCTCCCACGCACTGAATAAAGCCAACCCCCAGTTCCCAGAGGTGAGGAGCTAATGGTAAATTCTCATTCCACAGACTTTTTTGGTGTTACATACATATTTTGATTCTATAGAAAGAACATGATGAACATGATGTAGTCTATATGAATCTTTGCCAGAAACTTATGGTAAATTTGTGGCCAAATTTTTCTTTTATTTTCTTCTCCCTGTCATTTTTCCATTCCTGCTCTTACATCTCTTCATGTTTTCTATTTAACTTTCCATCAGTTGTCACCTTGCTATCTTCCTTTTACTCTTTCTCCCTTTAACTACTACCATTCTTCCTTATTTCCTATTTTACCTTCTCCCCTACACCTAGATATAGAACAAACTTAGATATCATGCATTTTATTAAAGATGTTCATTCATTTTTGAAGTTGTGCATTGAAATTAATTTTAGTTCATTTTGCTTTACCAAATTAATAAATTTAATAAGTTTTAATGTAGAAATTAAAATTTTATAACTTCTGTTATTTTTCCCCCAATTTTTTAATGTAGAAGTTAATAATAGAGTGGATATAACTCCCTTGAAATGTGACATATTATAAAAGGCTATATAACATAGAAAACAGATATCATTATTTTATGTTTAATTGTTCAATTAAAGTTAACTATATTAATATACAAATAAGTGTTAGTCTTTCAGGTTAAAGTCTAAAAAGCCGTCTGGTTGGAACTACTGAGAGTGAAATTCATGGATGGAACTAATTATGATCAGATAATCCCCCTTTTAAAACATGATTTTCTTTGACAACTTCTTTATGGGAATATATATACATTGTTGTCACATATACGTATTTGTACGTAGGAGATATGGTCCTGGGTGTATTCACTGTAGTCGGTGGTTACAAGAATTAGAAGAGTAATTATGCTGACAAACATGACCATGAAATTGTGCAGTTATAATAGAATTTTGGTTGATTTTAAAAATATTTGTGATGTGAATTTAAATTGGAAGAATAAAATTGAAAATATTTGCTAATGATTGAATTCCAATTTAATACAGAACTACTTGTCTTTGATTTTTTTTTTCCTAGAGTCTTACGAGAGACACTGCCACTGAAATAGCCATCAATGTGAAGGCACTATATAATGAAACGGAATCTTTACTGGTTGGCAGAGTTCCTTTGGTAAGGAAAAGAAATGGTTGATCACATAAGAATGATGACACATGTATGGACCTTACCTTCATTAGGGAATCATGCATTTATCAAATTCTAATGCAAAAACAGCCTTCTGGCCCCCATCCTTAGAGCTTCCTTTTTACCTAGCTTTTTCCTTCAAGAAAATATATGGCTAACTCTGGGAGTTATGATCCAGGCCTACAAGAGATTACTTCTCACATATGCCAACGGATGTTTATGCAATCCTGCTCTGCCCAGCCAGTTTTGAGAGACATGAGCTTTATAAAGTGCAATAGACATTCCTCAGGTATCATTAACTCATTATTGCAGAAAAGTAGAGGAAGTCATAGGTTTGTTCTCAAAATTAACATTAAAATATGATTGGTATGGTTTTGTAGATTTGCTTAAAAGACACTTTCTAGACTTAGTTTTTCAAAACTCAATTTCAGGAATTAGCTGTATCCCTAAATTAACTCAGATTGGTGCTGGACATCAGGAATCTGACCACGGTCCATTGACTTCACATAAGTGCTAGAAGACCATAGATATCCTGTTTGGTTTGCCCAGAATCCTTGCCTTGTCAGCCTTTATTCTCAGTGTTTTCAAATGTTCCAGCATGTTGGGTCTTTTCGCCACCTAGTGTTCAATTGTGGTTTATTCACACATGCTGTTGCAACTATGTTCTTCCTGTAACAGTTCTGATTAATTGATAGGTGATGATCTTAAAACATTTCTCTTGACTGTAATTTTATCTCTTGTTTTGTATTTAAATATACACTTAAATAAAAGTGATAGTAAAATTCATAGTATCTGTCACAGTGGGAAAATGGGAGGTGTGTTCTGTAGTTTAGATAACTAACAAATGACTGCAGTTGGAATTTCTGTTTGATTGGAGTCCAGAAGAGTGTGGCCTTCACAGCATCCTTTATTCTGAGAGGAGGAGCTAAAGGCTACATGAAGTCCATTGCTCTCACCTACCTCCTAAGGAAACTGAAATACAGCTTCTTTAAGGCAAGAGGTGACTGCTTCTGCTGTGGCCATGAAGAATAATTTTTAGGAAGAAATATTGGTTATATCTTTTGATAAAAACAGTGGGAATCTTGGCTATTCTTCATGCTTCTATTATTAACCAGCATCTTCTTGCTCCTCTTCTAAACTTAGTCCCATAGGAAATCCAGTGAGCTGGATTTGGTCCCAATTTTTAGATGGAGGACGGGTATATTTTTTTGTGCTATTTGAAGTACACTTAAGGTAATTTCTGGTTGACAAGAACTAGAAGCATAACTTATTCTGTATTTTAGTTCTCTATACCAAAAGTATCCATTAAGTGTTATTTGGTTAATATTTATCAGTTACGTTATTTTAATACATAAGGACTTCCCTTACTTTTAATTCTTCTGTCACTATCAAAAATGTATGTTTGGTCTAAAATGTTTACCACTAAATTTTATCAAATTTACCTTAGGCAATATTGATATCACAATAAAGAGAATCATATTTGAGAGCAACTGAAGTTTACTCTTTATCTGGATTCTAGAATAAATATGTAATCACCATTTATCAATTTTATAAGAGAGATATTTTTAGAATAAAAAGAAAGTGGTAAATTTTATATGACAACCTGGAGAATCTCTATATTTTATTTTTTGAGAGAGAGAGGAAGAAAGAGAGGTAAATTAGATAGACAGATGATAGATGATAGATAGATAGATAGATAGATAGATAGATAGATAGATAAAAAGAGAAACATTGATTAGTTGTTTCACTTACTTATGAATTCATTTGTTGATTCTTGTATGTGCCCTGACCGGGGATCTAATCGGCAACTTGGTGTACTGGGACAAGGCTTAACCAACTGAACTACCCAGCCAGGGCCCTCCATATTTTTATTAACTAGTAGAAATGGTAAACCTTAATAACAGAGGGGGAAAAATAGCATCCATAATAATGTAACATTCTCTCTGAACTTTCAGTTTAAAATTCTGTGAACCTATATGTGTTACTTTACAATTTTAAAGTACTTTATAAAAATACTGATTAGCTAGAAGAGACCTTAGAAATAATCTAGTCATATTCTACTGTTCATTGAGGAGGAAACTAAGACTCCTGAAATCAATGGACCTTCCCTTGGTTGCAAAGTGAGTAACAAGTCTGGGACTAGGAATCAGTCACCTCCCTTCTAGTTCTGTACATAATAGTGTTGGTTTCACCTTTATTTATTTATTGAATTTATAAGTGCTTTCTAATAACTGCTTCGAATGGGTGGTTAATAGGAGACCAGTTAAATTATTGTTGAAGTTTCTAAACCCTCTTCCAGATTACAAACCATTTAGCTTTTTGCCTTGCCCTGATTTTTACAGCTTTTTATCACAAATTTTTCTGAGGTTTGTTGGTTGTTGTTTTTTTATTAAACTTATTATTTTCATTCTCCAGGAAATTTTTGTGCCAAGCAGTTCTTTTTATATGATCTATTTTTTGACCAACTTAAAAAATATTATTGTTTGTTCACATAGTGATCTATGTAAATCAGAAGGATTTTTGCCACAAATAAGTAGAGTAATCAGATTACTCACTACAGCAAAAGTCACACTAATTACTTATATCCTGGGAAGTAAGGATAACTCTTCCCAGGTCTTTTTCAATGAACCCCATATAAGATTATTTGTTCTTTCCTAATATTCCTCTATATTAAAAACAACTACAGCAATAATCACAACCTAGCCTAGCCTAATAAGCGATGAGGGTGTTCATTATCAAATAAAATAACTTACTCTATTTGGGTTGGGCACTGAGCCTTGTTTTGCTTTGTTTTTGACCTGCTGGTAACCAGCAGCTGGAATCCCCACACGAGGAGCGGGTGTCCAGTGCCTTACACTCTGTGGAGGTGGAGCTGCAGAAGCTAACAGAGATCCCTTGGCTTTATTACATCCTCCACCCAAATGAGGATGAGGTATGTAGAATTCAGCCTGTTTCTCGATCAGTGTCAACTTGATGATGATAGAATTTGAATCCATCTTTTGCAAAAGAGATATTCAGGGGAAAATAAATTTTGAATATTACTTTTATGTGAACCAAGGTAACATGGGAATCGCTACATTTTCAGTAGTATATGACGGCATGAACTTCTTTGAAGATGTCATCCCGTCAGCAATGTTTTTTGTTAATAACTGAGTCCTGCATTGTCTCTAATATTAGAGTGTGTTTTCTTCTCTTACTGTCCTGAGAAAATTCTCTTCTTGCTCCACTGGAACAGGAGCCTCCTATGGATTGCACCAAGAGAAACAGCAGAAGCACAGTGTTTCGCATAGTGCCAAAATTTAAAAAGGAAAAGGTTCAGAAGCAGAAGATAAGCTCACAGCCTGGTAGGTGGTCCACAATGGGAGGGAAAGTATAGCATTGCAGAAAAACAACTGATTACAGTGATTCCACTAAGGCAATGAAATGCTCTAGAGCAGCGGTTCTCAACCTGTGGGTCGCGACCCCTTTGGGGGTCAAACGACCCTTTCACAGGGGTCGCCTAAGACCATCCTGCATATCAGATATTTACATTACGATTCATAACAGTAGCAACATTACAGTTATGAAGTAGCAACGAAAATAATTTTATGGTTGGGTCACAACATGAGGAATTGTATTTAAAGGGCCAGAAGGTTGAGAACCACTGCTCTAGATAGTGGCAATCATTGTTCTACATGTTGAATGTACTAAATGCCACTGTAAAACGGTTAAAATGGGGAGTTTCATTTGATGTTCATTTTACTATAATAAAAAATTATATTGTACCTAAAATATGTCCAATATCAGTAGGAATCAGTAGTTATGAAGCACACAAGAAAATGCAGTGGCTGCTGATTTGCTTTACTTGGTTTGGTGGCTGTCAGTGCACCCATGCAGATGGTTCTCTGTCTCGCTCACCAGCAATTCAAGGCCTTGGCGTCTAACTTGTTTCTCTTCTTCAAAATTCAAAATCTGGATCATTTCAATAAATGGAACATAGAAACTTCCATCTTTTCCTTGAGCTTGTTAAATATATTTTCTACCTAAAGTTCTATATTTTCTTTCTCCTGTTTTAAGGACTTACTACACCATTTGGCAATCTACTGTGACATTTGCATTCTCAAGCAAAGATTAAATTCTCTTTGAAGTTGTCTTTCTAGTTCCCTTCCCACCTTTCCCTAGTGCTTCCATTTAACGCTATGCTAGTGCTAAAGCAACTTCAAGTTCTTTGTATATGATGGTCGGTGCCTTTCACAATCAAATCAGTTTCTAATTTCTCTGAGTCAGCTATCACCTTGTCAAAAGTGATATATAATCTGATTTTTGACAATCAAAGAGCAGCTCTTAAAGGGCATTTCAAAACCAAATATGGCAAATAAGTAGGCTTTTAAATAGCAAATCAATGTTGAGTCAAGTATGTAAAAGAATGATTATACATATTGAAAAATAACAATCCAATTAATCTTAGAGTAGTGTTGACTATTTTTAGATGATGTTAAATCAGTTTAACAGGACATTTATTTTTATAATTATCAATAGTAATAGAATCAATAAAGGCAGCACTTGAAGTCAGCAAGACCTAAAGCAGAAGTTTGTGTAAAATTTAGTACCCTGTGTTAGATTTTAAATTTTAATTAGCATTTGTAGCTAATTAAACTATAACTAGTTTCATATATGATCTTAAGGAAATCATCAGAACTTATTTAGACCTTGTATTACCAATCCCAATTATGAGAAATACATCTTTTGTACATACTGTGTAGTTTGGGTGGCTTTAACGAGGACACTGAGCTAACGCTAAGGACACAGGTGCACTGCAGTGAATGTCTTTGTGGTCCTTATGTTGACCTGCATGGGGAAGAAATGGAACTGTAGTTTTGTTGAAACACCTTTAACCTTTCCCTCTGCTAGCACTGCTGCTGTATTCTGTTTGCATCTCCTTTGGCCAACCTTTGCTTTGTAATGCATTGAGCATGTAGAAATTAAGGGGGTTTTGCTCTTAACTTTGGTAGTTCAGAAATGGGGCACAGAGGAAGTTGCTGCTTGGCTGGATCTGATCAATTTGGGAGAGTACAAAGAAATCTTCATCCGTCATGACATCAGAGGGGCTGAACTTTTGCATCTGGAAAGGCGAGATCTTAAGGTATTTCCTTTGTGCTACTCTTTGCTCTTGAAAGTTTTTCTTGCAAAACAAAATCCCTCCTCCTGTGCCTCTCCTGTTACCTGCTTATAGCTTGGCTTATGTTATGCAAACGTGCAGTAATCTAATATGCATTGTCCTGTGGTCTGAATTCCTTGTATGCTTTTTAAACAAGAATGTCAGCAATATTTTCCTGTCAAAATCTTTCTCCGGCTATTATAGCTAAAGCTTAGCATGACTTTAGTAATTTTTCTCTGCATTCATTGGTATGGCTGTCCCTATATGCTAATATTTTTAAATGGATGATATTTCCATCTGCTCACTCTACTGGATTAGCATGAAAGGTGATAATTGTTGCTGAAAATAACTTTAAAAATCTAATATAAATCTAACAACTAAAAATTAACTCAAAATATCAATGATAAAGCCTTCCTAATGTATGGAACTAGGTGAGAGACCTATAGCAGTCCTGTGATTTTGCATTTCTAAATTGATGGCAGAGGAACAACTAGACCAATAAATTCAAATTTCTTTCTATGACTTATTAAAATTGTATTCTTCTCAAAAATAAATGTGTTTTATTTAACTGAAGTAAAAATTATGCCTTTTGCTAGAAAGCAGCTCAGAGCCTATTTGTCATTTATGATGGAAAAGGAAAATCAT